AAAGAATGTATAGGAGAGGAAGAGTGTGAGTTATCCAAACTTAGGCAACAGTCCTTCAACTGCCCACCATACATATCCACATACACTGATCTTCAAGGCAAAACAAAACAAAACTTAAAGTCCAACTGAGATCAGGAAAAACAAAATGAATGGGAATTCCTAGATAAAAGTCTAATACTTGAAAACATACTAATCCCTACTTGTTCTCTTTTCATTCTTCCAGTCATAAAATTACTTTTCAATGAGCAAACACACTTAAGTTTACGTACTTAGAGGATAGGTTTGGGAATGAAGGCTCTCTAGCCCTATATCAGAACAATTGATTTATCCCACAAAGATCTACTGTGTCATTTCACTCTGCTAGGCAGTGTGCTGGGGATATAAAATGGACATGGTTCCTTCATGGTTCAGTGAAGGACAAAGGGAAGTTTGCATGTAGCTCCTGGGAAGTGCCGAGGAAGCAGCACCAGGCCTGTGAAAGGCTCTGCAATAATTCCTTCCCACAACTCCCTGTATCTGAAGATACCAGCTGTCCACAGCACACCAGGCACAGGGCAGGGTGAGCTGAGGGAGACTTTGACTGAATCCCAACTCTACCTTTTTCTAGCTATGACTTTGCTGTTGTTTCTGCATCCATAAAATGAAAAGTAATTTTTCAAGATTGTGAAGATTGAGATAATATATGTATAAAGTTTTAGTACATTCCTGGCACATAGAGATATGGTATTATTAGATACAATTTTAAAAATTATATATAGAAATCCTTTTAATGGCAAATAATCTGTTTATTGGCAATCAGGTCTTCATAGGAAAATACCACATAACTTACTTTTCTTCTCATTTTCAGTGACTGTTATATGGTAGGAACTCAGTAAACATTTGTATTCTGAGGAACTTCCAAACCTCTATGGAGAAACTTTCAAAGAAAGCAACCATTAGAATGTTTTTGTTTTTTAATACTGATTAAAATCCAAAATGCACAACTAATGGACACAAGAATATACAGGAAAAGAAATGAGGCCAAAATTTGTATTTGTTCATGAAAGATCTAATTTGTTTTAAAAAATGTATTATGCTGCTCTTCCATATTGTTCAAAAAGAATATRAGTATTTCAGAAATTTGCAGCTAGAGGGAAGAATTTTTTTTAAAAAAACTATTGATTTGTCTTTTCTTCCAAGAAAAGTATATTCAAAGTTAAAAAAAAAATCAGAAAATGCAGACGTGCCAACAGAAGTTCCCTGTAAATCCATCACGAATATGATAAGCACTATTTACCTGTGAATCTGGGCCACTGATTCTAATTCAAGCTCTGCCAGGATTAGAACAAAGCAGGTAACAGAATCATGCTGTAAAGAGACAGGCAGCCCTGCCTCAGGGTGGGTGAACAAATAATGAGAAATTTCCTGAGCAGCTAACAAGTCATTATCACAAAACTTGGGGGTTTTAGTCCACACCTCCCTACCTGATATAAATGCTTATATCTGAGGAAAACATGAGTCTGAAATCTCTAGGAATAACCTACTGCTCTAGCAGAATTCCACAATCAGCTATATGAGAATGAAACAAGAACATCTGGTCTAAATTTGTTTTAAAGTCCATGAGGTTTTACATACAAAGTAAGTTTGGCAAAATGTAGTCTTAGGTTTGTGGGATCTACAATTAAAAAAAAAAAATTAAGAGGCCAAGAGGTTCAGCAGAGCATGGGTCAAAGTGGGAGCTAACTTTATAAAGCTAAGTAGCCCAGGTATGCTCTTTAAATTCCCCCCCCCGAGTTTTCTGTTTTTCCAACACTTTAGCAAAGGCATGTAATTCCAAGTATAATTTACCAATTTATGTGTTTGAGTTTCTGTACATTGAGATCTGACCAAGTAGTAAACTAAATACACACACACATACACACAAGTATATACAATATATAACTATATAGACACACACATACATAAGTAAATTATATACATAATTCATGAAAATCATTTCAGGACTTTTTCAAAATCCCTAATAAGCTAATGTATGTTATCTCCAACATAGGGAGCACAGCAAGACCTAACACATAGGCCCCCCAACATCCTGGTTTTTCTTGGGCCTCTTCATGGGATATACTTTGGAGAATACTAGACTCTTAAATATGAATGAGATACAAAAGTCTGGGATTCAGATGACTCTTTCTACCTGCAATCTCTTACTGTTCATCCAAGGATCCATTCAACAATCATTAAAACATCTGCTATGTGCTTCATTCAGTCTTGACACTCCTCAGTTTGCATATATCTGCACATTCTAATCCCACACTTAAATCTACACTTTTCTTATATGTAAAAGAAAACTCAAACCAAAGCCTAGCACTCAACAGCAGTTTGTGCTATTGCAAATATTTAAATGTTTTTTTTCCTTCCCTGGTTCGAATGGACTTCAAAGACAGAGGCTTGTTTTTACTTCCTTGATCCTCTTACTGTTTATAAACCCATGTAAACCCAGTGGCATTACATAGCTACTGTGACTTATAAAGATGACAGGGTTGTACCTATCTCATCTAGGCCAAGGGAAACTGCGGAGATGGGTGAGAGAGAAGAGAGTGTTTTGGGGAATCTTACCCATTCCTATTTTCCTGCCATTTGTTTGTCCTGTGGAGCAGAACCCCAGAGCAAACATCCACACGACTCTTCAGCTCCATACCACACTCTAACCAAAGTGAGGGGATTTGTTTACCTTCCTCCTCTAATTACACCCTTGGTGAGAAAATGAGAACAAAGTGTAGGCTGATCAGAGTCTTTTCCTCCACAACCATGCTGGGCATCAGAATGTCCTATAGAGCTGCCAAATCCCAGCAGAACTCTTGCACAGATGACAGAGAAGAAGGTGCACCTCAGTTCACTGAAGCCCACTACCAACCAACAGAGGCGAAGGGAAACAGGCTCACCTGGGGCATCAGAATGCCTTTCTACACAGAGATGATGAACAAAGCATCTGTCTAGCCATTATCCTTACACACTGTGTAGCCAGGGAGAAACCAGGTTGGCTCTTTGTTGATTCCAACTCTTCTTCCTCTGTAAGCATTCTCTTCATTAAATCCTCTCCAAATAACCCTTTTGAGGGCACCATATGCTTCCTGCCAGGACCCTGACCAAAATAACAGGGACCAGGCAAGAGGTTTTCTTGATATGAACTTTAGAAAAGGGAGTTACTAAAAATAATTTAAAACTTTGGAGACAGGTTAATAATGTCCAGTTCAAGGTTTGGGTTATAGCTCWGTGGTTAAACGAACTCATATCCTGGGTTTGATGATGATGAGAAGGAGGAGGAAAAGGAGGTGGTCATCAGATTGAGGCTAGGACATTGATTTTTATCACTTAAACCTCCAAGAGTTAAAGCAAACTTCATCTAATGAGAAAGTATAGAGGCCAATGAAAAAAGGAGTCTGAACTTAGAGGTTCTCACTTTTTCCTCAGTGAGGGGTCCATTTTGCATTTTTCCAAAGCAATAAGAACCCTGCAGCAGAAAAGGGAAGAAGTGACATCATTATAATTCTGTGTCAGGCATCAAATTGTCTTACTGGAGTTGAGAACAACTCCAGTAAGGTACATACTATTATTATACCCATTTTTCAGAGGAGGAAACTGAGTCATAAAAATAGTAAGGATCTTGGGCTGGGTTGTACCTAGGGATACAGCCTAGTATGAGGGGGGGGAGGAGGGAGGGGGTGAGTAAGGAAGTTGCCCCAGGCTACACAGCTGGTATACTGCAGAACCAGGACTTAAACCTGAGTCTGACTCTGGAATCAGACACTCTAAACCAATATGTATACTTCCTCCCCAGGAAGCCTTGGAAAGGAGGCTGAGGGTAACAAGAGCAACAAGAATAAAGATGTATGCTTAAGCCCATCTTCCTAACAGTCTCAGTCAGTACCAGGGCCTTCCAGTCCAGTATCTGGTCCCCACAGTAGAAAGGAGGTTGTGGGCTTATAATCCTTATAAGTCATRTTTCAGATTTACAAGAATTGAAGAAGTATCCGTGAAGACAAAATGCTGTAAAGAACTGTGTTTGTGAAGACAGCCTGTGATGAACTAGGATACTCTGTAATTTTATCAAATACCAAAAAAATCCTGTCTGAACCCTTTAGTCTACAAGAAGGATCATTTTTAATATTTTTAGAACCCAAGAGTACACAGCATGAGGGCAAATGTTATGCAAATTTTAAAAAATGATCTGAAGAACTACTCCTAAACAATATTTTTGAAAAGGAAAAACAAATTTTGTTGACATAAGTATAACTTCTTCAACACAGTAACTAGCAGTAACTCTTTATCACTTTCAGAGGAAAACAATCCTTTGGGCCAAATAACCAAGAACAAAGAACACATATCTTTCCAATACCATTCCAAGTCTCACCCATAATGCAATGCTTGTTGGCAGGTCCATATTCTACATGCAAATACAATCAGCATTTTATCTTATGCCTCCTGGAAAGTTTAATAAATGAGCCCATGGGACATCACATACCAACATAGAGGCCGATTATAAGACAACAGAATAAGCATTTAACTGCAAAATGATGTGTATCCTTAAATACAGTGGCTGAGTCCTGATCTTCATTCTGCTTAACTTAACATTTCTTCTCTTCACTTAAATTCACCTCTCTGCTGCTGAAGAAGCAAGACGCGTGGGTGGTAGGATGAAAGATTCAGCCTTGTGCATATCACACACTTTAGTAATCCAAGGAGAAAATAAATCGACAGAAATGGTGCTTATACCAAGCCGAAAGAACACATTAAGATATGCTGTCAAATGGTTTCCCAAAATGAATAATCAGCCAACCAATCAGTCAATCTGTTTATACATTTTCCTAGTGTAATTTCAAACCACTCTGGATGCTAGCTTTTTGACTAGATGACTACCCCTGAACTCATTCTGCAAACAAGGCTGGTTGTAGAGATTAAAGAGGCCCTTAAAGAGGACCTGGGAATGTTAAATGATTTGCAAAGTGCTTGGAGCTCTAGCTTACCAGTTGAGTCAGCCCCAGAAGCTCTGCCACTTGTCTGCTCCTCAGCATTGACAAGTTGCAGGTCTGTGTGCGAAGGGCCAATGCTAGGACTGCTAGTGTCTTCAGAGTGGGTTGTCCAGCTGCTCTCGGAGGTCAGAGGGCATCTCCTCAAGGAGTCAAAAGAAGGACATGTCCAGCAGGGCATGGTCAATGGGAGGGCTGAAAACAGACCAAAAGCCAAGAGGATACAATATGAATAGCTGTCCTTTGTTTATCATTAGTGCTTGTCTTGCTTTGCTGTCACTTAGATCCTTTGAAATCTTAATAGCCATATAAGGTAAGAAATACAGGAAGAATTTCTTATGATACAGATAGGGAAAACTGACTTTGACCCCACGAAGAGACGCTATCAAAATCAGCACTAAAACTCAGGTCTCCGGACACTTGAATGAAAGAAAATCTCATAGGAGTATGAGTTACTCTAGGATCTAATTTTATTTCTAAATTTAGATTTCAGCTTCATCTAAGCCCAATATACACAAGTCTTACAGTTTCACCATTTCCTTACATTTCATTTATTTTTAGTGGCACACCAATAATCTCAAAAAAGCTCACCAACTGACATTGGAAAATTAGAGCAAGTTTGGGTTAATGRATAAGAGTAGATATGAGGGGCAGGGGCTGGGGCTCAGTGGTAGTGCACTTGCCTGGCATGTGTAAGGCACTGGGTTTGAATCTCAGCACCGTGTATAAATAAATAAAATAAAGATCTATCAACAACTAAAAAACAAAAATTAATTTAAAAAAGAATAGATATGAAACCATATTTGTACAYGTATGTGATATGCCTATGCTTGGTTTGAGTTTGACAATAACTAAAGACTCTGCAGACTGTTAAATATTAAAATGGAGATTTACTGGGCCTGCTGTGATACAGCAAAAAATATCTTTAAGGGAAAAATGCATAGAACTAGGCTTTATCTCCTTATCCCAGAATACCAAGTCAGCCTTTCAAAACCACTTCAAAAAACTGTTTTGTGTGTTTTCTTTCTCTTTATATCAAACTTTCTAATTCTCTTAATTGTCCTCAGTTAACTACCTACCACATGCTTTCTCCATGGTGCTGCTTAAGAATAATCACTACAAATTTACCATAGAGTGCTGAAAAGAATRTGAACTAGAAAGGAACAAAAATGAAGGAAACTACCATTTATTGAGTAGCCATTCAAAGGTCAGACCTTTCACAAATTTTAGGTAGCTTCATCTATCAATTCTGAGAAGCAGGAAATAGTCTTATTTCATACAGAGGGAAAAAAAATYCAGAGGTTAAAAAACTCTCCAAGAGATGCAGTCACTTCTCTTAGCCAGAAAACCAAAACAACAATTAGATTAAGAAACACAAAGAGAAGGTAATGATTTACCAGAAAAAAAAAAAAGAACAAACAGCAATACTTCTGACATRGTATAACATAAGGAAGAATTTGCATTCATTATTTTCTTAGGCATTTATAAAACATTCATATCTTTTCTCTGGAGGATTCATAGTTCACATCTTCTTTTCTTTAAAAATGTCACCTCCTTTTCAAATTCTTGAGCTGTTGTCTCCAAAGATGCAAGGTCCCTTTCTCTGCTTTATTTCCCTTAGAGTCATTACTGACCAACATGCCTTCCATATTTGAACTCAAGCTCCTTAGGAAACCGGGATGTTTATTTACTTCTATACTCCCATTTCTAGAATAATATCAGGCACTCAATATTTGTTGGTCATGTTTGTAGAAGCACTGTAAATCATTCTATAATAGTCTATATTAGTAGGTAGTGGTAGATGTCTTAATCACAGCAAACTCTGGAGGCTGAGGCAGGAGGATAATAAGATTGAGGCCAAACTCTGCAATTTAGCAAGACTCTGTCTCAAGATAAAAATAAAAAAGGACTGGAAGTGTAACTTAGTGGTACAGTGCTCCTGGTAGCTTCATCTATCAATTCTGAGAAGCAGGATATAGTCTTATTTCATACAGAGGGAAAAAAAATTCAGAGGTTAAGAAACTGTCCAGGAGATGCAGTCACTTCTCCTAGCCAGAAAACCAAAACAACAATTAGTACCAAAAACCCCCAGTACCAAAACCCCAAAACCAAACAAACAAACAAACCCCCTATGACCTATACCCAAGGGAAAATTTTAAATATTAGTCAAAATGCAATAATATTATTTAAAACATATCACAGGGCTAGCAAGAGAGCAAAGAATTAAAAAAGGCTAAGTAAAAGGTGGAAACAGAAACATAAGCAGAGCATACAACCTGATTTTTCACATGCACCCTGAGGATTGTGAATAAACCAGAGACCCTTGAGTCTGAGTATTTTTAAAAATATTTTTTAATTATAGATGGATACAATACTTTTATTTATTTTTTTAATATGGTGCTGAGAATTGAACCCAGTGCCTCACATGTGCCAGGCAAGCACTCTACCACTGAGTCACAACCCCAGCCCCAAATCTGAGTATTTTAAGTCTCATGTGAAGAAGGTGAAGGAGAAAAAAACCAGGGCCAATACAGGATGGAAATCTAACAGATGATGTGATGCATAAATGAGAATTCCCAACAGACTGAATGAATAAATTAGGAATAACTTGCACTCTCCTGCTGGAGATAGCAAAGAAAATGGTCTGCCTTAGGTTTGGGTCCAGGGTAGGGAGAAAAAAAATATTATCACCTGTCCCCACAAAGATTTTGCATTTAGAACTGCTTTTGTGGCCTGAAAATCCTCCAGTCTGAGACTTTAGCTGAAATATTTCAGTTAATAGTGGCCTCAGTTTCTCAAGAAAAGCATATATTAGTCCTTTCTGGAGGAAGATATCTTTAAACCAGGCTTCTCAGGCAGAATGTCCCTAAGTAATGTGCACCTGGTAAATATAAATAATAAATCACTAAATACATAAGAAATAAAGTTGCCATGAACAGGGAGGGGCAAGCCAGGTATTGGAAGCAGGGCATAGACAGAATCAGACTCGAAAATAATTCAGACACTAGAATTATTAA